GCAAACAATGAAAAATCAACATAATTAAAACCTCGTCAAGATCAAAACCAATAATATAACCCGTAATTTTCTAGCGTGACGATGATCGACCAATCTCTATGGAAATTGGAAATTTTCCAGTGGAAAGCGAAACAAAATGCAAGCCAAAATTCATCACTTTCGCTTTGCAATCGGCTTCGTGATCGGAGTCCCCGATTCTTCCCGAAAGATGTTATAGAATAGCAAACCAAACAAAGTGTCCCATACCGAACGTCATTGTTTCGCTTTGAGCTTATAGAATCCGCCCCCTGCTAGGGAATTCTGTAATTTTCGTTTATATCGCGAAGCTAAGCTAAACCATAGCGAAGTCGATTTTTGTTGATATTCTATAAGGTGTTCGCTTCGCTTCCGCTTCGTTTTCATAGTGTCATACGACAAAATACGAGTGTGAACGACGTATGGTTAAATAATCATGGCAACATTGTAGGTATATGAGCCCAGAGCAAAAACTATAAAAAAAGAAGAGAAAATTAAAAGGAACCAATATAGGACTTGGGAACCTACCCCAAATTTCGATTTTGAAAATTTGAAACTTCAATGACATAATTGACGTTTTCAATTAAAAGAGATGGACAATAAAGTATGAAAACAATCATTTTCCCGCCAATATTTGCTTGCTTGTCAATGCCAGTGTGTATTGGGTGTTTTGAAAGAAATTGTGGGAAAAGTTACTACTTCATTTGCAGAACTTCGCTAAGGAGAAAGCGGTGAATTATTTTGGAAGCAAACAGCTCCCGCAAACTAAACTTGAACGTGGATTACTTTGTATACTTGATGGGCCGTGGATTCCCTTTTTTTTGCGAGTATTCATTCTGATTTTATGTATCCAAAATTTGACAAATGTAGGATTTGATGGAAACTTATGGAAAGACACGTCCGCCGGTAAATAGGAATTATTTTTACAAAAAGGCACACTACACAATCACCATTGTTGGGAAAAAACTTTGAAAAAACCGAAGAAATAATAGTTTCCAGTTTCCACATGTACAAAAGTCTTGTCAACAAACCACTGTCAGCGGCTGTCAACCGTTGTTTTCATACTCTTTTGGCGTCTGACAGTTGGACGCTAGAGAGAGAAGCTTTTAAATAGAAAAGGTCAATTAATCATTCCTATTTATTATTCCTCTTTTTCTTTCTATAATATTTATATTGCATTTCTCAAATTATTGTGTGATAAAAATGTTGCCGGTACAATTTGTTGTAGGTATAAAGCGAACTCGAGTGAAGAAATCAACCCAGATTAACGCGAGAAGACAGTAGGGTCCTTTTTAAACAATGAATAAAAAGACTGTTTATACCTTAGATTTATACAATGATTCGAGCTAGAAGTAACCTATTTGGTTTAACAGATAGAGGTTGAAACGGATGTATTTTTGATTTTTTCTCCATTTTGCAGTCGAAATTATACCTAAATAAATTAATGAATTAAATTTGATAGAGAAAAGTTAAAATTGCACAAACAATCAAAAATCTACATATTTAATAAAAACCTCGTCAAGATCAAAACGAATAACATAACCCGTAATTCTCTAACGTGACGATGATCGACCAATCACTATGGAAATTGGAAATTTTCCAGTGGAAAGCGAAACAAAACGCGAGTCAAAATTCATCGCTTTCACTTTGCAATCGGCTTCGGGATCGGTGTCCCCGATTCTTCCCGAAAGGGGTTATAGAATAGCAAACCGAACAAAGCGTTTCATAACGAACGTCATTGTTTCGCTTTGAGCTTATAGAATCCGCCCCCTGATAGTACACACTGATGGTAAAAAAAATTGAAAAATATTAAGGGAAAATCTAGAAATCTAAAAAAAAAAAATTATAAACTGATAATCAACTTGCCCGTTTAGTGGTTCTGCCAGGAAAGAGACCGTTTTAGAAGCAAAACCCCGCAGGAAAACGAGTTTCGTGTTTTTTTATACTTAACTTAAGCCTGCCATACGTCCCGTATTATACGGGACAGTCCCTTATTTCAAGGTCTATGTCCCGCGTCCCCAAATTTGTTGTTGGGACGCGTAAATGTGTAAATTCTCTGATATTTCAAAAAGCGTAAAATAATGCGATTTTTGCGTCTCATTCCCAGTCTCTGCGGAAACATAAATAAATCGATTTTTGCGCCTCATCTCTAGTCTCAGCAAATCGCAACCCGCGTGTGGCTAAATTTAGCTGGTGTAGGCACCGTGGTGGAATGGTAGAACAAGCAATGTTGTTAAATTAATCAGAGTTTAACAAGCTGTGGTTTAGCATCGGCATTAGTGAATTTTAATCATCGCATTCGTGGCGGTGCACCATTTTGGTGAATTTAGCAACACGCGGAACGTGGTGGTTATAATTCGACATAGCAATTGACATTTGACAGTTTAGAATTTGGCGAGTTCGGCCCAAGGATAATATACACCGCTAAGGCATATTGTTTATCAGCCTCGTTTTTGGTAATCGCCGCCATATTGGTGGATCACCATTGCCGACATCATCAACTAAGTCGTTAGCGACGTCAGCTGTTTGCGCCAGCAGTCGTAGTCGTAGTAAAATATTATTTACTTTTGATTGACATAATAGGCAAATAGGAAGTGCAAACGAGATCTAAAAAATAGTTGTTTTAGAATGTTAATTAATGTAGTAAAATGAAGTATGCATATAAAACAAAAGCCCGCGGAATCATGACCTGTGGTGCAAACTGCATACAGCCTACGTCAAGGCGAGAAACGACATGCTGCCTACGTCACAAATGATAATTTGGTAGGGTGGGGGGGTCAGATTTGTTCTACACAGGCCCTATGAGGATAAGCTAACTGAGGGCTATCCTGTAGTAGTAAGGTGTATTATCCGTGGGTTCGTTCATACGAGCGCAGCCCCGAAAAAAAAAAATCGCCTGCGCCGCTATTTTTTTTACAAATACATGAAACATCTGTTTCATAAAAATGTCCCGTTTTTTTATCAGAATAATATGGTAGGCTTAACTTAACTGCGTATTAACCATATCGTATTCACTTCATCAATGGAACACCACGTTGATTGAAAGCAAATAGATAAAAACACACTAAAGTTTATTTCACGAGACGAGATAGTGAAAGTAAAGAAACTTTGACAGATATGTCGAATTTTATTGGCGAGAAAAGGATTATACTCCGCCCTAGGCAGGACCGTCTTAGGTTGTTTTGTATTTTCATTCTCTGAATATGTTTCTTTTTTTGTTAGATTTTTCGATTTCAAAATATCTGGATTTTCTTGTACCTTTGATTTATAGTACACGTTATAAATAATTTCTTTTTCTGAACTACTAAAAGCCCTTCGTCGTTTAGACCGCTTCTCAGGAACGAATTCTTCAGCGAAATCTGTTAAATTCGACATTGTTTTAATCTAAACTGCTCCAATAATTCACTAAACACTAATCAAATAATTGTAAAATACTAAGAAATACGACATCAAAACTTAATTGACTCATGACAACCATAGATGACAACCTGAGAATAATAAATGTCATTGATTGTAATTCATATTTTTGCAGTCCTCCTCTGCATTTTTACGCTCCGCCTGTTTGTTTACCTATACTATCTTGTTTCGTGGAATGAACTTTATAATTATTTAACGTTATGTTGAAAACACAAAACCACTAATCAACTAGGTCATTAGGCTAAAATAATCATTTCAAAATCAGAAGTTAGAGAAAGACATATATATATATCTATTTGCTAAAAGTGAGATAAACGTAAAAATAAAAATAGTATATTATATACCTAGATAGCGAAGTTAGTCATTATATGTATACCGAGCGCTTTTATATATATATATATATAATGTGTAAGGTATATAATGACTTTCTATACCGAGGAATATATAGATTTTTTTTTACCAGATACTGCTAGTAGAAAATAAAAAATTGATTTAAAACCTGTGCTCAAATTATTTTTTTTAAACGCCTTCTGTGCTGCCCTCTATCAACAGTTTATGGTAGCTTTCTATGTACCAACAGAAATCTGTGCTTTTTTTTTTAATTGACGTATGAAATTGAAATTAAACCAATAGAAACATGACAATATCGTAGGGATTTTTTCGTTATTTTCATTATTCACCTAGGGAGAGACATTCAATTTTTTTCTAGAAAAATACATTGAATAATGACTATTTTTCAGGTAAGTAGTAAAAAAAAAATTATCAGGTACTAGACGGCGGTACCTTCTTTTAATGACAGATATTTGCATTTATATGTTCATAATGGATAGATGGCAGTACTGATATTATATTGAATTAATTAAATTTTGTAGATACTTTCAAATTACTTAAATTATGAAATATTCATTCAATCAAAGATTGCGTTGATTACGAAAACGTACGTCGCATTATTGTTTCTTTATTGGTCAGGATTTTTGATATGAAATTTTGATATTAAAGCTCAGTGACAAATTTGCTATACCTAGATTGCAATAATAAAACTGAAAAATAAAATAAAACTATGCAAGCTCCCTAGTGGCGCGTTGCGCCAATTAGAATTTTACTAGTTATCAATAATTAGAATCTAACTCAATCAGTTTTACTGAACGGTATGTGACATTAAATCGAAGAATATAACATATTTATTAAAGATCAATGTATTTTTGTCAGCATAAACATATATTTAGCTAGAATTGAGCCATTATTTTATTCCAAGCAACAATATTGCCATCCAGAGTGATTGTCATCTGGCAAGAGTGTTGCTCGGTTTCATTGTTTTCCACATCGTAATTTCCATGCCAAGGCAATAAAGCCTTTCCTTTGTGTATAGGAAACCTTGGGCCCTCCACTATAAGCTCGTATTGACTTCACTGTAGTGGCTTATTTAGCTTATATAACCGCATTCGCCAGCTTTCGCGCTTTAGTTGCCTATCTCAAGAGGCAAATCTTGTCAAATTACCATTTAAATACGTGTTTAAATTTGTACGGAATTGGATTCGTGCAGAATAAGTACCCATTGCCAATGATGTGTATAATTGAAAATTTGTTTAATATGTGATCAGCCCAAGTTGACCCAATTTTTGATACTAATTTTGACACATGACATTATTGTTCTCCAGCAACATAAATATATTTCAATAAAATAAATATTATAAATTTCAGTTTTTAAAACCCAAATTAGAAGCAACAGTATACAAATCTCCAATACTATCAACCACATAATCTGGTTTAAATTTTTGGTCATGTCGCCAATTATTCAAATCCTCCTTAGAAGTTAAACCAGTCAAAGTCAACATTTTCTGGTAACCATACTCTGTAGCAAAAGCCATATCGGTCTCAACCCTTAAACAAAAAAATATTCTAGAAAAATAATTTAAAATTACTTGGATGACTTACGAATCTCCAATAAACAATATGCTTTTCGGATCGTAGGGCCCAATATTTTCTTGTAGGACTTCATTGAACTCTTTGCCAGGTTTCGATAATATTTTTGGAGATACTCCAGTTATGTCTTGGATGATTTGGGCGAATTGTACTGGGGCTAAAAATGTTTGTTCCAATAAGATCAAGAATTTTTTAGTGCCAATTTAATTTATTTAAACAGTCAGGCTCGGAATATCTTCCAAAGGTCAGATTGACCGTGAGAGTTTCTATTGTGGTCTGTCATTGAAAAACTACGTTACGTGACATTTTTTTTTTGTAAAATGATTCAATGAAACAAATAATTTAACAATTTGACCTTTTCAGCAAATAGAAAAAATATCACATAAAAACTTCAAATGGATCTTACGTTACGTGTTGAAAAATGGGTGGAAAAAGTAGATGAGTTAGCGGAGTGCTACAGTTGGGATTCTATGACCACAGTGAAATTAGCTTCAAATCGGTTGAAGGGAATGGCGCGTCGTTGGTATGATGCGCAGGATAAGGTATTTGCTAAGTGGAAGACAATGAAAAAGCAATTACTGGAACAATTCAATAAGCCACTTCCATTTGGTCAATTATTGAAGGAAGCTGCTAATTTTGAAGTTCAAAAAGGACAGGATTTATATGAGTACTGTTTTGAAAAGTTAGGAAAACTTAAAGCTCTTCAAATTGACATTCCACAGAAATTTTTAGTAGATGCAATAATATCAGGCATAAAAGATGAAAATATAGTTCTTGCTGCTAAATCATCAAATATTACCACTACTAATGAACTATATTCGTATCTTAGTACTTTAGGTCCCTCAGTTAATAAACAGGTCCTTGAAAAAAAATATTTAACTAAACCTGCTTCCCTGCTTCCTTTGAGCATGAAACGAAATGATGCCGGTTCTAGTTCGTCAAAAAACAAATATCAGGTTACTTGCTTTAATTGTGGGGATGCTCATTACGTTAAACATTGTCCCAAGCCACTTATAGAATGTTTTAAGTGTAAAAAACTAGGACACAAAAAGTACATGTGTCCATTAAATTCCAATAAGTCACATCCCAAATGGAATAAAGAATCTGTCAATTTAGTCGATCAAGTAAATGTTCCCAATAATCCCTATGTACTAACATCGATAATTAATGGGGTAAAATTTAAGTGCCTTTTAGACACAGGAAGTTCTTGCACAATTATTAGACGACAAGTAGCAAATCGCTTGGGATTAAAAATTGTTTCAAAGACCAGCAATCCTGTTTTGCGCGCTTTTACTGGGAATCTAATTGAGAGCTCTGGGATCGTGACTATAAGAGTAAGGATTGGGGAAGCAAAAGCAGAATTACAAGCTGTAGTAATGGAAGATGAAGAAATGATCTTTGATTGTATTATAGGACGCAATTTTCTCAACTTGCCCAATATTCTAATGTATAAAGTTGGAACACAAGTGTTTATTCGATAGCTACCAGGCTTTGATGAAAATAAAATTACAGACTGTGAAGTTGCATGTCAATGCGAACTCAGTACCATAGCTGCAAATATACCTCAGGAGTATAACCAAAAGCTACGTAGTTTATTATACGAATTCAATGACTGTATCGCAACTTCCATGAAAAATTTAGGAAAAACAAATGCCACGTCGATGGTCATTAAAACTGTCAATGATGAACCTATAGTATATCATCCATATCGACTATCCATGGATGAAAAAAATACTTTGCGAATAATGCTGGTAGAATTGTTGGAAAACGGCATTATTAGAGAATCCACCTCTCCATATGCTAGCCCTGTCATACTGGTTAAGAAGAAAACAGGTGGATATAGAATGTGCGTGGATTATCGGCGATTAAATGCGATTACGGTTAAGGACAAATTCCCACTACCATTGATTGAGGACCAAATTGATCGTTTGGGAGGTAATTCATATTTTACAGCTTTAGATCTGGCTTCAGGTTTCTATCAAGTTCCCATGGATGAAACCTCTATTCAAAAAACTGCGTTTGTTACTCCAGATTCCCACTACGAATTTCTCAGAATGCCATTTGGCTTGACCAATTCTCCTGCGGTATTCCAGAGGCTGATGAATAATACACTGGGCCAATTGAAGAATACCATTGCATTTCCCTATATTGATGATGTTATCATTCCTTCCAAATCCATAGAAGAAGGCCTCATAAGCTTACGTTTAGTTCTTGATGCGTTTAGAGAGCACAACCTTACTCTAAATTTGGAAAAATGCTCCTTTTTCCAGAAGCAAATAACTTATCTTGGTCGGAAAATATCTGCAGAAGGAGTTCGGCCAGGAAAAGTCAAAATTAATGCTGTTCTGAAAATGAATCACCCGAATACAGTAAAGCAAGTACGGCAATTTCTTGGCTTGGCAGGATACTTTAGAAAATTTTGTAAGGATTTCTCGAGAATTGCGGAACCAATAACAAAATTGACTCGCAAAACTGTACCCTGGCAGTGGAATTATGAACAACAAACAGCTTTCGATAAAATAAAAAACATACTTGTCACGAGGCCGGTTCTAGCCATTTTTGATTCGTCATTACCAACTGAACTACACACCGATGCAAGCTCGGACGCATTTGGTGCTATGTTAATTCAAGTGAAGGATAATAATTCGCACGTAGTGGCATACTACAGCAAACAGACAACAACAGAACAACGATTGTACCATTCTTATGAATTGGAAACTATGGCTGTAGTTTTCGCCCTAAGGCACTTCAGGACATACCTTTTAGGGATGAATAAGTTTACCGTTTTCACAGATTGCAGCTCTCTTCGAACAACGTTTTCAAAAAAAGATTTGATTCCACGGGTGGCCAGGTGGTGGTTAGAAGTTCAAGACTTCAAATTTGAGATAAAATATCGACCAGGAACGAGGATGCACCACGTTGATGCGCTTAGTCGGTACCCTGAAGGTAGCCTTCAAGTCGATGTCTGTGGCGTAGATGTTACAGAGGGTGATTGGGTTTTGAGTGCTCAAATGCAAGACGAGCAATTGCTACGCATCAGAAAAATATTACAAGAAAATGACAGGAGTGCTCAGAACAAGCAATATTTTTCCGAATACGAAATAAAAAATAATAAAATATATCGGAATATATCCGATGATAAAAATCTATGGGTGGTGCCAAAGGCAGCTCGATGGCAAATATGCATATTGTGCCACGATAAGAATGGTTTTGCAGGTGTGGAACAAACAATTAGAAGGATAAAAATGAATTATTGGTTTGCAGGAATGAAACGTTTTGTAACGAAGTATGTTAATTCTTGTCTGAACTGTGCTTATTATAAGGACACAACACTCAAAAAGGTAGGGAAGCTCCACCCAATTGAAAAATCTGCTATACCTTTTCACACTATCCATATTGACCATGTAGGACCTTTTGAGACTAGCTTGGCCAAAAATAAATTCCTTTTTGTGATAGTAGATGCGTCAACAAAATTTGCCATAATTGAACCAGTTAAGTCGACTAAAACTAAATCGGTAGTAAAGATATTGGAAAATGTCATGTGTCTATTTGGAGTTCCTGCCCGCATCATAAGTGACCGAGGCACTTCCTTCACATCAAGGGAATTTCGCCTGTTTTGTGAATCCTACTCTGTCAGACACGTTCTCAATGCAGTGGCAACTCCGAGGGCTAATGGGCAGTGCGAAAGGTACAACAAAACCATATTGAATATGTTGGCCACTACAAGTGCAGAAGATGATTCCAGATTATGGGATACTAATATAAAAAAAATTCAAAGTGCCCTGAATACTTCGTTCAATAAAGGAATTGCCACTACTCCAGCTAAAGCTCTACTAGGATATCAACCAATCACCACTGCTGAGGCAACATTGTTAAACAGCATTGGGAAAGAAGTTGATAGAATAAATGTAAAGGAATTGAGGTCACAAATTCAAGAGCACATCAAAGAGGATCAGAGGAAACAAAAGGAAAGATATGATCGAAGTAGAAGAGAAGCTAAGAAATACCTGGAAGGGGAGTTAGTATTAATATTGATAACTAGTGAAGCAAGTGTGGGAACAAGTAGGAAGTTATTACCAAAATACAAAGGACCTTTTAAGATTTCCAGAGTATTGATGAATGATCGATACGAAGTAGAAGACCTCAGAGAAGGAAAAAGACGAGTGAAGACCGTAATTCCAGTGGACAAGTTGAAGCCCTGGATTGCTGTCGTCAGGCCAGGTGAAGAGTCAGGTTGTAGCCGGGACTGTAAAAAGGGTTGTAGCCCAGGTAAAGTATCAGGTTGTAGCCTCGACTGTTGAAGGGTTGTAGCCCATATGAGGTGACAGGTTGTAGCCTGTATTACCGAGGTTGTAGCCGCTTGTTGTAAATAGCTAGTAGTTAACAATCAAACTTTTTGTTTCAAGTATTTACTGTAATTTATAGTTGTAGTAACTTTTCCCAAGTAGAGGTTTCATGGATGAGGACACCCATGTTGGTAGGATGGCCGATTGTAAGAGAAGGACAATTGGATTTGGAATAATCTCTATTGTTTTGTATATTGTGCTCTAGTTTGTAAATAATGTTAGAATAGAATAAAAATAGTCGGGCTAGAGATACAAAGAGTTATCTATCTGCCTAAGGGTCGGGTATGACCGCATTCTTGGGATGTTTACCAATATTTTTTGTTATGATGATGATTCATGGAGAATAGGGTTTATTTTTGTAAAGGGTGTGCATTTTGGTCGGAATGCATAGTCAGTCTATTGGAGATTTCTTTTGTGTACAGTTGTGGAATAAATTTATGATTTAGAGATTTTGCGAGTTTAATTTTCGAGCGGATTTTATACGGGGCACGTTTAAGGCGATGTTTCAAAAGTAATTTATAGACAGTAAAAATGCATAGTAAGTATTCCTAAAATACAATAAAGTAAAATTGTCCAAAAATTTATTTGGTGCATTTCCATTGGGTTGGATATTTCTTGTAGTCGTCTCTTCTGTTCTTGAAGCGTTGTGGCAATTTCATTGGTTTCTTTCAAGTTGATGGAGTTCAGGTCAAGTGTAGGTGGATTAAAAGCAAACTCCTTTGTTTGGTAATAATTCATCGATAAATTCAGTGTAGGCAAGGATACATCATCAAAAGTCAAACGATTGGGCTTATAAGTTCGTAGAGTAATT